TTAAAAAGATATTGTGATATCTTTGTTTGATGTAAATTTATTTAAATTTAGGCACTACGTGCTTAGTGATGTGTGTTTTCTTGTAGTTCTTTTCTACCTCCTCCTCAATTCTATTCATAATTTTTATTATAAAGGATTATTTACTTATTGATGATCTTTTTGATGTTTTTCCTTTGAACATAAAATACATTGCTTATACAGCGTGTCGTTACCATCGCGACAATAAATAAACGCACGTTTCACGCTATTTGCCAAGAATCATAAGAAAATATTAACGTTAAAAAATATCCATTATTAAAAAAAAATTTTTTTCAAACAAACTAATTAAGTAAAAAAGAAACAAAATTTGTAACATCCTATACAACTACAACTGACTGATTCATACATTCAGAGACAAGGCTCTCCTTCTAACAGTATGTTTTGTCTCTTTAAAATTCATTCAAACCATTCATATGCGTTGTGACTTTTACAAATGAACTTTACGTTACAGTTTTATACATAAGGGTGTTCTAAAATTCTTTGTTTTGGAAAATTTAATAACTCTGTAAATATTGATGTTTAAAGAATGTAAATTTTTGATACATTTTTAAAAAGTTATCCTCTATATGTGTGTTCATTTATTGTCGCGTTGGTAACGACACGCTGTATATTAAACAACTTACTTAGATTTATTAAGCAACAAAGGCAAAGTTGCGGGTATCAGATAGTAAGTTGATTAATCATTTACGTTATTTTGCCGCTAGTGTTGAACTACACTAGCGTAGATCTTTAAAAAGGTTTAAAAATAAAACGTGCTATGATAAATAATTTGCCACTAACTCGAAGCTACGTTCTTCTTATACGTAGGCGGGATGATAAGTAACTAGCCTTTGCTATTTAAAAAGTTAAAATTAAAAAAATATATGTCATTTTTAAATTCGTTTGTCTGGCCACCTGTGTTCTAAATTTGAATTTGGTGGCGTGAAAATTTTATTGTTTTTTGTCATTTGAAAATATATTTCGTCAATTGTTTTCAAAATAGATAAAATTGAACAAAGAGTGGTGATAAAGTTTCTTCATATGAAGGGGATGAAAGCGAAAGATATCAATGACGAGTTAAAGAATGTTTTGTGTGAATGTGCTCTTTCTTATACCACAGTAAAAAACCGGGAGGCTGAGTTTAAACGCGGTCGTACATGTGTCCAAGATGAAGCCCGCCCCGGACGTCCAAAAAGCGTCACGACTCCGGAAATGGTCGTGAAAGTACATGATATGGTTTTAGTAGATCGAAGATTGAAGTTATCTGAAATAGCTGATACTACAGGTATCTCAAAAAAACGGGTACATCATATCCTAAGTGAGGAATTAAATATGAAAAAGTTATCGGCCCGTTGGGTGCCGCGATTGCTTACGCACGATCAAAAAAGGATTCGGGTGCAAAACTCAAAAGAATGTCTGGACCGTTTTCAAAGTAATAAGGCCGATTTTTTACGTCGATTTGTAACAACAGATGAAACATGGGTTCATCATTATACGCCAGAATCAAAAATTCAATCAAATCAGTGGACTCAATCGGGATGCCCGGCTCCAAAAAAAGCCATGGCTGTAAAGTGGGCTGCAAAAGTGATGGCTTCCGTCTTTTAGGATGCAGATGGGATTTGATGATAAATTACCTTGCTAAAGGTCAAATAATTAATGGTGAATACTACGCTAATCGTCTTGATAAGCTTCATCAATGTATTCAGCAAAAACGACCATGTTTGGCGAAAAAAAAAATCATCTTCCACCAAGACAACGCTAGGGTTCACACATGTGTTAAAGCTATGGCAAAAATCAACGAATTGAAATATGATTTGCTGCCCCACCCACCTTATTCGCCTGATCTAGTGCCATCAGACTTCCACTTATTCCCTAAGCTCAAAACTTTTTTGGGCGGATAGAAATTTGCCATAAATGATGAAGTCATAGCCGCCGTAGAGGAGTATTTTGCAGGTCTCGAAAGAAATCATTTTCTGGGAGGCATTAATGCTTTAGAACGAAGATGGAATAAGTGTGTAGCGGTTCACGGAGACTATGTCGAAAAATAAAATTAATTTTATCATGGAAAGTTAAGTGTTTTATTATTAGGCTAGTTACTTATCATCCCGCCCTCGTAATAGACTTGTGGAACGAAAATAAAATTGCAAGTCGAGTGCGAATATAGATTTGTTTGGCAAGCGCGAGTTACAAGGCGAAATTTATTGTCAACCTCATGACTCTAAACATTGCCAATAATGTTAGTAGGTTTTTGTCATTCTGCCAATCCATAATGAACGTATGACAGTGAATGCTGATCTAAACACAAGACTATTGCAAAAGAAATATTTTTTTAATGGGCGGAGAAAAATTATAGAAGAAACAAAAAGGAAACGATCATCGGCACATGGCTCATAAAAGTTTATTGCGAAATGTCTTTAGTACGATCTTAATTTAACATTAATAACTGAGGAAGATGATAAAACTGAAGTTTATTTCGAAACGGTACACGGGAAAGTGAACGGAAGAAAACCGTATTAACGTTTGTCCAATATTGAATTAGACTCGACAGCGCTAAGCAATAAAGAGTGACTGGGCGACTTTGCCATTAGATGTACGAGGATGAGTTTGCGGGACAAGAATGTGAAAACTATATTCGCGTTCAGCATATATATAGATGTAGTTATTTGAACTTAGCTAAGCTTCCCGGCGTTTCTTCTTTAAATCAGTGTACTCAGTTTCGGTATCTATCAAATTGTTAAAAACAAAAAAAGCCCTGATACAAATTATACGAACGGAAGAAAATCATCGCAAAAAATCCGTCAAATTATGTCAGTTAAAATATGATAAAACATTTTTGCTTGATGTCATATTAAGTCCATCAAAGCGAATTTGGTCTCTAGAGGCCTTTGACCAGCTGAGGACATATGTTGCCGTTGCTCTGTGAACGTAGAGCTACAAGATTTTTCCATAAAAGGTTTTTTATGGTAGCTTCAACAACTTATACAGACTGTCCTTTAATACACATTGTTCCGAAGATTGGCTGCGTTTAGACCCCACAAACATTTATGACAAGGGCATGTCTCGGGTCCAATTTTGTCGCGTCGGTACAATGGCAGTGCCCGATGCGAAACAGTTCGCGAAATCACCTGTCACTCTAACAAAAGCCCATTGGAAACAATGGGCCACCTTGCCTTTACTCTTTTATATGAATTGAAATAATTTAATTACAAGGAACACAAATCTCACTGTGAAGGGTAGCAACTAAATTAATAATGCATTTTTTTTACCATGCAATCAATTAAAGTTTTTCACGATATCTACTATCGTAAAATACTATAGCTAAAGAAAATATTTAAAAGCATCAACCAGTTAACGCACCAAATGTTGTTTCACCATTTGAGAGGAGATTATTTTTAGTATTTTAAATCGAATTGCTTATAATTCGTTATATATGATCAAATCAGATTATCCATTGAAAAACTGTCCTCAGTCAACTTTACGTCAATAGAAAACTGAAGAATAATGTTAATAGAAATTGTCGCGGGCAGTCCAACGCTGCCAAACAAATAAATATGCAGTAGTTGTAACGTGTGGGAAAGAGAAATTTGCTATTGTGAGACGGCCCGGGCCATTGCTGACCTCACGATTTCAATTGTCCATGCAAAATGTTACGAGGAAACTAAACGATACCGCGGGCCGGGCAATTTTAGTTCTAAATTCAAGGTCGGAAATGCGGCTGAAACTTTATTGATGTCGCCTTGGTCGAAGTCGTACCGAAGAATGAGTATTGTGGATCGGCTTCATATTGTTCGTTGGCACATTTCATGATTCCCTTTAGATTATTGTTGCATGAGTTGCCGTTAATATAGAATTTCTAATTACGGAATCAACGAATTTGACAACTTACACTTTGTCACGGCGATGTAAATGCGGACGAACAAAAAGGGCAGCACTTGTATTTTGGAAGTTGATTAATAGTAGTTCAAGATTACTGTTTGACAATGCACGAGCATACGAAGTGATTAATGATACTTTAAGCGAACGTTGCTTAGCGAAGTGGGTTCATAAAATGAATCATTATTTTCACATCACTAAAGTGTAGAATTAATGCCATGTTGCAAGAAGGTTAATTAAAACATACTCAAAACGAACGGGAATATACCGAACTATAATTTTACGGTTCAAATGTGATACATGAATGGATGAATGAAAAAAAATATATTCAAAGCAATTCGAGCCGCTCGAGATCAGAGAGTCCATACCGACACGATTAAGTCTTACTGGTAGTCATAGATCTCTGAACCTAAATGATGGTGAACTTTTGATAGGTACGTATATTTTTGTTAAGGTTGTAACTATAAAGGAATGGAGGCCACGCGTCGTGGGCTTAATTTCTATATGGGAATAGAACTGCATGACCTACAGACAAAGGTCGTAGATGCCAGGAACCATTTGCACATGTGAGACGCTTTCACATAACCGGATTACCATTTCGTCTATTACCTCGTGTAATTTTATAAGTAACCGTTTTTTTATTACGTTTTTATAATCTGGCTTTCTCGTTGTCTGATGGTTTGAGTCGAGATTAAACACATTCCATATTTTAAACTAACTTCCCCATGATTTATACTTTATAGACCATAGTTCGGCTGGATGACATTGCAATATTATTTAGGTTTATTGCTAGTCGCTTCTTTAGGGTTCAAACAATAAGTAACCATATACTATATTAAATATATTAAGTAGGCAATATTTTAACTACCAATAACTAAGGGCTCGGTTTCTTATTTCTTGAAACCTAGTTAGTATATTAAAGTCATTTATTATAAGAAATTTTATAACAATCCTCTCTACTAAGATGTGCAGAGAGATGATTGTTTAAGAAGTATTTGCAACCGACGTGCATGTATGTGCAATGGTGTGCAATTCCGAAAGAGTATGCATGTGTGCATGTATGCATGTATGTATGTATGTATGTATATTGCTTTTTTTGTTGTACTCACGAGTGATCCTTTAGTATCGACTCGAGTCTACCGGTGTGCGTGTTCCACACGTAGACGGAGCCGTCAGCCGCACCGACCGCGAGTAGCCTGCCGCCAGGCCCAAACGCCGCCCTGGACCAGTCGCAGCCGACCTTGAAGGACTCGTGGCTGAAAGCGCAAGACAAAGCCGCTCCGTTGCGTTTCGATACGGACACTAAACAAGCACTAGCGCACTCTGGTAACGAATTGATCGCTCCAGGCTCCTTCAAATGAAGTACAAAACATTGTTCATGTATTTCATTGTCACATAATGGTATGTTATAAAAAATAAAGAAAGAAAAAGCCCGCCGAGTTTTTTTCGTCGGTGCTTCTCAGGGCTTTTCTTTTCCGAACCGGTAATAGTATTTTGGCAATCAATGAGCGAGTGTATTGCTTCTATATTGAATAAAGATATATGAATTTACCACGCTGAAGTGAATGATGAAACTAGTGCACATTTAATGTAGATCCCTGCAGATGCTCTTGGGCTGTAAACACACTTTTATCTAAATCCATGGCAATAGCCGCTCTAACTGTAGTAGAGGCCGGCTGGTGCGAAATGTAGGATACTGATGGAGTAATGGCAGATTTCATCCATGATATATGGTTTTAGTTTAGTACAGTCCCAATTCAGTTATTGAATATTTGAATTTAAGTTCCAATATACTATGTGAACAGAACCGCTGTATCGTAAATAATTCACAGAATTTAAAATTAGAATTTATCGCTATAATGTTATCTAAGTAATTTATAATACTATAAAGTGATTTTTTAAAGCATGGACAATTATTTACATTAGCATAATGTTCAAACATATGGCGCTTACAGCGAGAACGGTAGTTTTTATTTTAATTATGGGCAACACATCGAAAATAACATGAATAGTGAAATGGCCATAAATAAATGTACGTATATTATAATCAGGTATAACAGTGCGGCCGATCGACTCTTGAATAGATGTATCAAATTAATTTTGATTGATTTAATTAAATTAAGGCTTTGACATTTTTCTAATATTTCAAATGAATTTGATTTATGGTAAAAATGGTAATAACTAATAAACTTGAATGATACCTGAATGATCGGACGATGGTGTTCATTCGCAGATCTATTAGTTGTATGGTGTCGTCGCGTACGCAAGCCAATAAATAATTGCTGTCTGAAACAAAATAAATATTTAGACAATATGTACATACTCTTTAATCAAATACATGATCTTTTTTAAATTGGACTTTTGAACTATTTGGTTGGAACTTACCGATTGGCGCAATTGTCAGGTCATTTTCATTTTTCATCTTTTTGTTTAATCTTACATAGATGACACAAAAACTTCTAAATTTCCTAATTTTCCAGTTGAAATTCCTTTTCAAATGAAATTAATCATGAAAAATTAATGTTTTTTGAAAAAGCATACTGCTACTTAAGGGAATGCAAGAAGCTCTTCGAAACTCAATGCAGATAATTTGTGACAGGGGAGGACTGCGGATATATCGAGACAATGGCGTATTAATGATCCTACTATATAGCTACCCGTTACTTTATCCATACACATAATAATGTCGCCTACCTAAAAACGGAGTCTGACAGGGCCGTCATAAGGAAAATTTATGCGTTGGTTAACGGACGCTTAAAATTATTTACGTTTAAGATGGAAGAAAGATTGCAAAATTATACGAATTTGATTCTAGTGATTTGTCTTGTAGTAAGTTACCCGTGACCCGGCTCGTATTATTACTATTACATTGCCTAGATTCCCAATTCTCATAGAAAGATTTAACCTTTGACGATATAAGGTAAAGCGCCATTTCCAATACGATGATCGTACAATGTAATGGTATTTTATTAAATTAAGTGGGTATCGAGAACACGGAGGCATCGTGGTTTCATTAGAGGTCGGCGATTCGTACAGTACCCGAGTCGGGGTTAGACAATAACCCGTAGATATGTTCCCACCATTATCCGTTTAAGTCAGTTTAAACATGTCCGGAATGAGCGATAAGGGGAGATGGGTATATCACGCTGCGCGCCGCGATGGCGATCCGGCATCGCTACGAAGAATCCTCTGTAATAGATAGTATTGATGGATTTGGACCGAGCGTGACGGCTAACTGTGAACCAGCGCTCCCCATTCATTTGTCCATCCGCAACGGACGGAGCCGCTGGCGACGAAATCGACGTGATTTAATCAGTTTCCCGAGGTACTGACGTCCCGATACACCGATTGATTGAAGGTATCAATCTCGCCGTTTCGTGCACCGGCCTCACCGTTACCGACAAAAAAGGGATTGATCGAGACACGCGTAACGGAAATGGGCATCGTGCACCCGTCACGTTGTTGTACTGACACGAATACCGATACTAATAGATATGATGTGCATTCAATTATCTGTGAATATTAGTTTTGGGAGCGCGGAAATTAACGAGCCTTGAGCGTTTCGTGGGACGCCAATATGCCGCATTCTTATGTGGTTTACAGTGTTGCTTCCGTGAGCCACGGAATGTAACGGTACCAAACTAAAATATAAAAGTTAAGAATGATTCTCAGAAGCACGCGTTTAATTGTCTCGTAGTTTATAAATATCGATTTGTACCATAATACTTTGTAGATATATGCATATTATGCAAAAAAATTAAAAATTACCTAATGCTATACTATATTAAAGTACACTAAATACGTTAAACAAATAGTTACAAAATAAGTAAAATTATTTTGCGCCGAGATCCATATTAAGGTGTAGTAAATAGATAATGATCATATAGCTTACCTCTACTGAGATCGAGGGAGGTGACTTTCCCCTGAAGCATGATATGATTGGCCGACATTTCGGTGCGTATGTCCCAAAATCTTATCCGCTTGTCGAAATGTCCCGAAATAATCGTGGAGCCGGCACCGTCTGATGTCACCAGATCATTGCACGAAGATCCTGCGAACTTCGTTTCCGTGCCTAAAGAAAAATAAAAAAGTATTTGTATACTTATTTATGCATGTAAAGTTATACTTCTTTAGAATAACAAAAGAAAAATAATGAAAAATTATATCCCCTGAGCCGTACTAGTACTCTTTGTTTGTAAAAAATAAATTAAAAGCTATTAATAACGGTTTAATTTCTGTTTCATTCTCATAAAAGGAGGAACTTGAAATAAAATTAGTATAATTTCAAATAAATTTTTATGCGAGTTTCGAGTCCTTCTCTGTTCTATAATTATAATTCATAAAATTAACAAAGATTGCAGGTCCCCCACTGATTTTTCAATTAGAATAAAATCTAGGCTATTTTTACACAGTTTAAGCACAACATAAATATAATTTATTTTAATTGCCGGCTATGAACAAATAACAGCAATGTTTTATTTAAATAAAACTATAAAATAATGTCACTTTATAGTCATCAACTCTGATATTACAAATATGAACTTTTTACAGATAATTTTTATATGTTAATGCTAGACATTGATTTATCATGACATAGATTTATGCGTAATTACTACTCATATTGAGTTCATTCGTTCGTTTCTTTTACGGAAACACTTTTAGTCCTAATTTCATATATATTTTATAGAGCTTTATCTTTTGATTACGTTCTGTGTTCATTTACGGCACGTTTCCTGCATACACATGTAATGCTATTAATTCAGGTCATAGTTTAAATATAACTTTGATTACTATTACACCTTTCGATCGGAATATATTTTTAGTCATCCAGTTTCTAAGTGATGGCCTGATGATCTATAAATTAATTTTTACGGTGTACTGTTTAAACGTGTTCGGATACTCAACCTTATGAACCAGATGATATTTCATCTTACACAAGCTTCTATGAGTTTTAATGCAGTCATCGTATATCTCCTATTGCGATTATTACACTCCTAAATGGAGGAAGGTTGATGCATTGATGGATGCAACTAGGATTACAATCTCCAATTAGACTCATCGACATGACAGACCCTTTATCCTAGGTTTAAAGAATTGAACAAAGGTATCTCATCCTGTTTTAAAAGTGTACTGAAGTGAACCCGGTTAAGGTCAGCAACAAGAGTGGTCCTGTCGATTTTTCACCCATCGGACAGGTAGCTGGCGAAACTATTAGCTGGAGCGTACCGTTGATATCAGAAACCTAAAGCACTGTTAGTGGCCATCAAGTGAGTTTTATAGTTAGGAATGTCACATACCCTCTTTCCTTTAAAATACACAGTATGGTCACAGTGGTAGAGCCGCGCAACAGTCATCGCTGTTGCACGAATGGACAGTCCGTTGAACCGAGTCATCTGAACATTTGTAATGTTTAGATGACCCTGTTCCAAAATTTAAAACATTAATTTTTCTATGTAAACAGCTGTAAGATTTATTATCATAATGTATACGTGTTTAAACAGAGTTTTAGAAAGGGAAGAATAAATTAATGATACATTGAGTACTACTTACACATTCTACTCCTTAGGTCCCAGATTTTAAGCGTTCGATCATGGCTGCCTGTGATAACTTTCGTGGGTTCTTCTAAAAATTTGGCTGCCATGACTTTTCCGCTATGACCAGTTAATGTGTGCTGGAAAAGAAACAGAATTGGTTCATTTATACATACTTTGGTATAAACAATAACGCACAGTTCTAATATATTTATTACTAATTTTGACTTTGGATGTTTGATGCTTTTAAATACCCATTTACCGCAGAGTTTAAATTCAAATACCAAAGACTTAAAAACCCAATAGTTAAAATAAGCGATTATGTTAATATTACAATTTTACAAGTTTGGATTTTGAGAAATGTTGAAATTTTCAGTTTCATCAAATAAGACATTGGAACGTTCAATTTGTTTATGATAAACCAAAACTTGATCCATGAATAATTGTGCCACCTATGTAGGTTGATTCCACTTCCCTTGTAAAAGACGTCAAAGGTAAAAATAAAAATGGATACACGCGAAACTGTCAAAGGAAAGAACGATGTTGATAGTACGAAAATTACTTCATTAATTCTGTTATTAATTTTATTGAAAAAAGATAATAAAAAAAGGGAAATTCAATTTCGCTTGGAAATTGGGGTCGAACTAAAAAAAGTTTTGTCTCTTGGCGACTGCAAAAAGTAGTGAGTTAAATTAAATAGCAGTAAAATTTGTTTAAAATTAATGCATTATTTATACTACTTTTCGTTTAAACGTGTAAATTTTGGTTGATAATAATACTTGCGTATTTAAAAAATCTGTGAGAGTAAAAATAAAAAAGTCTTCTAAACGAGACAGGAAAGAGATGAATAGGGAGAGAAATAAAAAAAAAAGAAAATTGTTTTCAGCCACCGCTGTAAGAAAGACATTTAATTATCTATGGGATGTCAACGTTTGTGGGAAACATATAAAAAAGGGTAGCGCATCGCAACTCGTCCATTAAACGAGAGAGATTCGTCTCAGACCGAGGTGGGGTTAAAAAGAGGAGTTAAGTAATAAAATTCTAGTTGGGCTACCCGCTTGCGACGGCCGCGGCTGATGGTCATTTACACTTAGCTCCCGGCCCCCACGACGAACGATTATTGTGCCCGTGTTAGAAGCGTCGTGATCTCTTCACTCAACGGCAGTACGCCACCGACGCGACGCCTCACGAATTGTCTCGTTACGTGCCTCCTATTTGCATTCAAAGAGTCTATTAATTTAATCAAGGGGACAGGCCGCGCTAAAGCGTTGGGCCGCTGCCCCGCGGTATCGAGCATACGTACGCCTTAAAAGCTTGTTACTAAACCAGCAGAAACTGCACAAGGGCATTTCCCTCGAGGCGCGAAACCCGAGTCATATAATAAATTCATCCGAATGTGATAGGATTTCCGTCGGTTACGGTACGTGGGACGTGATGCGTTCAAACAGGTACACGAGTTCGTTAATCAGACATTTTCGCCTCGACACAAATGCGATGTTATATGTAACTAAGGAAGTATTTTACGCTGCGAATAACGACTTTATGAACATTTTGGGTTCATTACATTATTGCCGATATTAAGTTGTATTAAGGTAACAGTGACGAATGTAATTAATCGTTTCCGAGAAATAAAATTTGTAATCTAGATTATAAATTTAATGTAAAGTCAAAATATGTAAAGAGGATAATTAAAGTTGCCAATAAAGACGCAATTAGCGATAAGATTTGCACGGAGACTGAATAATTTTTAACAGTTCGGCCCATAACCATCAAACGGTATGAGGGGGAGATTAAACGCCAGACCTCACGCCTGACGGTATGATATTTTCACTGCGCGTTTACTAGGCAAACATGACGTGTGTCGCGGTGCAACATGCCGGTCGCTGTGGAATGTCTCCACAACTCGGACGGTAACGCGCGAGACGACGCCTGACCTTCTCTCGCCGTTCTTAATTACCAGCAAAATGCTCCGTTATCAGGCGCTCTAGCCAACGACTCTCATTCCATTTGCGTACAATGAACAGTAACATAAACAATGGCCAGGGAGGCACCGAGCAAACATTGTTCCGCGCTCTCTCGATTGCTAAGTTCGTATGTAAAATAAATTACATGAACTGTTTAACTTCCAGTTTTCAACCGATTCCCGGACTAAAGGTATTAAATAATAAATAGCTGAAAACAACTAATACAATAACAAATATTGTTTTGTTTAATTCTGATACGAAAGTATAAAGAAAAATAAAAAATTGTTTTTAGTTTGTCGCATATTTTAATTTAGGTAAGTTTTAAACTTTAGTCTTATAAGCTACGTATGTAAGAAAGTAAGTTTAACAATCAATCGTAAGTAATGAAAATGTATTCAACATGATGTCGTTAAAACATCATACTACACATACTACTGACAGTGTTCAGTTTGTTCATCTGAAGAATTTCAAACACGCACCACACTAAGAGGCAAATATTTAGGGTCAATCCGCACGGCGCCATTAGTAAGAGCGCAGTGTTCCAGCGAGTGGCCCAACGGGACCTTATCATCGCTTTTGAAATTTATAGTATAACGCGGCTAATTAAGAGTAAACTCATTTAGTTCGATCCGCGCGTCACGAGTGTGGGGCGCTTATGTGTTTTCGGGTTGTGCGGCGAACGGCAACCGAACGCTCACACTAATTGAGGGGGTTAGGCGATATCATCCAGACAAGGGCCAACGTCTCTAACGAGCTAATATAAACGCCATCGCATCTCTACCGGGTCTAGATTACAAATGAATAGACCCACCAACACAATGAGACCATATAAAAAGTTTATTTGTACGCGTGCACCGCTGCACTGTCTTATATACACTAATTTGACTTTAATGCTGATTTTAGAACGACAAGGCACACTGGTCGCGTATTTACTACTGCTACAATACCATAATTATCCTCGGTCGGCTTTTGTTACGGTGTTCGGTTTTATCTCAACGTCTGTGTCCGGTTTTGTAAAAGACTAATTAGTGATTAATGATGCACTCTTAAATATAAAAAAAAAAACAAGTAAAGTTATTAAGTTTTAGGTGCCAAGTAATTTCTTCGTTGACATGATCTTTAGTAATAATCAGTTGTAATTTTTACGATTTACATACAACTTCTAGCCATGGCTTGGGTATAGTTATTTGAATCTTTTCCTCTATTTTAATATAATGCAAAGTTAGTACTAATATAACTAATATTTTCGATTTCACATGTTAAACTTTTGAACAGGTTAAACGTATGAAATGTTTAAAACGAATCTTATAAAAGATATTTTTGTAATACTTTACGCCATAAAATTCACCATTACGGCACCATATATAGTTGAAACCAGTACATATTGTTGCAAGGATCGCAGACCCTTAGAGCGCGCTACATACGAGTACATTCGTTACACTTATCTTTGCATTATGAATTTGAATATCTGAGTGCCTGTTAGAATATATAAATAAAGTTAGTGTTCCACGCGAAATAGTTCATTCCTAATAAATCTAACCGATTTGAATTGCACACTCTCATTTACGATTCAAGTTAAGGCACGTTGATCGGGAATACACAACTTATTACTTTGGCTACACAATTAACAGCGCGGTTAAAGTAGTTCTATTTCCATAACTCAATAGCTAATTACAGTGCGATTAGCTATATCCATATATTGCTTTACCATATATAAATTATAAAAATATATATAAATTATAAAAAGTTCTACTATAAGGTAGAAGCTACCATAAAAGGAAAATGTTCCTTTTCTCACAACGGTTCCAAACGCGACGAATATTTGCAAAACAACGGTGGTTCAATTCGTCGAGTGAATAATAAACACCGAGACAGGTATTCAGCGGTTGGCATTTTGTTTGCGATAAAATTAATCGATCGCCTATCAAGCAGATGTAGTGTTAAAAACGCTTACTCATTTGCATACAGAACCGAGAAATAGGTGGTTGTATCTCTGAAGTTTCAATAAAAATGGAGGTCGTTGTGCTGCGTGCGAACGTTCTTAATTACTGTGTTGTGAAATTAAGTCATCTTACAATAGCAACCGGTATGATTTAATCATTTTTCATGTGGTGGGCGAGTTAAATCAGCGAAATTACGAGGCGAGTTCCATTTACGCTTATAAACGGCACTTGTAGCTACAAAACTTTTGACTTATATTTTTTCAATTCGAATGCAATCAAGGGTATTATACAATCAATTAAAATGTCTATTTGTCTTTAACGATTACATTAAAGTGCCCTTTTTGTGTTAAAAGTTGGCAAACGAGCAGACCTTTCACGTAATGTACACCATTGAACGGGTGCCGGCCTCCAAAAACAGTTGGCCCCGGTTACCTCACCTACCAGACGAAATGAAAAATGATTACACTTCTCGCTACGGACCCCGTCCGCCCATTATAGATTCATATCAGTGGTGCTGAGTTAACAATGAACCAGTAAAAGAAGTATATGCTCTGCAAATCTCTACTTCCTGATCACTGGAGCTTCGAAGTACAGTTTGAGCGCGTACTCATCGGGATATACAGACTCCCCAATCTTAGGGGACCGGTTTGCGAAGTTTGTCAGCTCTATCAGGGTCGAACGATCCGATAGCTAATATTTGACCCTCATGTGGGCAAAAAGTGTCATCCGTTGCTACAGATCTAAATACGGATATATGTATAGAATATCACAATCCACATCCTTTGAGACGGCATTTATTCCCGCACGGCAATCCGCTATTCAGCTCAAGTAGAGTACCTATTCATTTCCATCTAAACACCAATAGGTCGAAATGTACAAGTGCGATTTTGTACAACCTAATGCATACTGTTCTATCACATGTATGTCGCTAGTAGAGAGCCAGCAAAAGCGCTCGAATCCATCCAAAGGCGGTGGCGGCAGTGAGCATAGCTGATGTGACAAGGTCGGCTCTGTTAGGAGCGATATGTGCTTAAATGCTTCGTAGTAGCTATTCTGCTATTTTTTGAAGTCAGGGATCCAGCGACGAGAAGTTTGGACACAGATTGGGACGATGCTTTACTGGTTGTCTATCAAGCTACGGAACGGAGTAACCAAGTAAGACACATTGGCTGAAATATCTCTTTGCCATCCGCCGGTTCCGGGTCAGCGATTTTGAGCGGAGATACGGCACGATTCTGATGATGGTGACCATTGATGACCGTCAAGCTGCTGAACAGGGTCGCAAGAGGAGAAATCGAATTAAACGATAAGGCCGAGGCTATTTTAGCCAATTAACCTGGCTATCCCCTCTGTGAAAATTAGGACAGGACTGTTAGCAATAACGAATATGCCCATTAATTCGTTCTTATAGTTTTGGTATTAACAGTTAATCGCTGTACTTTCTAGGCGTCAGTGTTGATCTCAGAACGAGTAAAAGTAATATAGATTACTAAACTAAGTAATAGACTAGAATAAAGAAAAAAATCTATCATATGTTATTGCAGTAATCTATCGGTATTGTTTGAGAATTATAAAAATTACAAATTGGTAACTTGGCCATAAGTGTAAGCCGTTTGCAGTTCAATTTGCAGTTATAAAGGTTCGAGTCATGGTGAGATTTGACATCATCATTTAAAACATTTTTTATTTCACAAACAAATAGAAATACAAATTCCACTAAGTAGTCTCTTTTCCCTAATTAATTGGAGTGATAAAAATACAGTCGTTTTGTACAAAATATTCGGTACAATCTTCCACTTTAAAGTAAAGACAAACAGTGGGGCGTGGAGAGGCGGACGTTCGTAATTATCGAGTAAAGTATTTAAAACGAAAACCAGCCGGTTTACACATTTAAATAAAGCGGTGTTAACGGCCACCCACTAGCCCCCGAATCCTACTTTCGAAATGGCATTTCAATTGCACTTGATCACTTTAATTGCTTAACAGGTAATGATAACCTTGTTGACTGACATCGGTACCCAGAATCTGCGCGGAAGAAAGGGGGGCAATTGTTAATCTTTCGGTTTAAGGTTCTAGACTAATAAATGAAACCCAATTCACGTAGTACCGTTGCAAATTAAAACGCAACCGTGTGACAATTAACACATTGGTGAGTTTAATAATTGAAGTAGAGAAAGTGAACATTAGTTAATTGGTGGTCGATTGGTTGTTTAAATTTATTGTGGCAATTGCGCTACTCCTTTTTAAAAAAAATTAAAATGCATATTTAGAACCGCGGTTTATGATCCAAAATAAAGGAATGAGGCTTCCTATATAATAAATATGTAAGAAATTTATGGCGATAAATCAGTTTTAACGATAATAAATGTTTAATTATATAAATAACAACT